TACTTCCTTTTTATTAGCATCTTAACGATATTGGGCAATTCCACTTGTCTCGGCTGAGTGGACAGCCTCCAGGAACACTTCCTTAGGGGGAGCCAGTGAGACACGTCCTTTCATCTCCTGTCCGTGATAAGCTGGGAAGAACTCTGGGCAGTGGAATCATTCTTACAAGTTGTTCAGTAACTAAGGCACCCGCAGCACCTGCGTGAGTGAAGGTCTGGGCTTACAAAGAGGACAGACAGAGGGTCTTTGCTTTATGATAAGAGTTCTTCCAGTAAAAAGCTCCTCTTATAAAGATAGGATTCAATTGGTCAACTTTTAGTTAATACAGAACTTTTCACTTATAATCTTATTCAGAATGAGTGATGACAAAATGAGCCTTTTCCCACAGGAGTGGTCTTTAATGGCGGCACTTTCCAGAGCTGTGGCAGGCCCTTGGGAGGCATCCAGGCCACAGTTATGAATATGGACTATCTTTCCTAGGGCATCAGCTTTGGAGGCAGATAGCTAGAATTTGAGCTTCAACCCTCCCACTCACTAGTTGAATAACCATCTTAATTTTAATGGTTGCTGATAACAGAAACCTGCTCAAACTGGTTTAAGCACAAAGAAGGAAGGTACTTGGAAGGCAAAAATCAGGGCAGCGTGGGGTCTCAAGGAACTGAAACCAGGATTTGAATGGCTTTCTCCGAGGCGAGGACGTGGAAGGCAACACGAAGCTCATATTCTCGTAGCTTCACCATTCTAGAATGGTGAGAGAAGAATGGGCTTCTCTCTCCCAGCTCTAGTTACAAAAAAAATTTTTTTATCACAGGAGGACTATGGTTGACCTCAGTTGGATCATATGCCACCTCTTGCACTAATCATTTTGACCATCAGGATACGTTTCTAAGATTGGCCATGGGTAACAGAGTCCTGACAAGAACTAAATGGCATATTCTCAGTGGTTTAACTGAGGAGAATTCAATGAGATTATTTACAGAGGTACAATAAGGTTTGAGGAAACCAGTAAAGGAGAGTGAAATACCTAGAGATTTGGAATAAAGGGAAGCCATTACACCCCCTGGATCTGCAGGCACAAGGGGAGGGACTGCTGTTGCCAGAGCCCAACAAGCCTGGTACCCTGGAAGAACCTTCTAGCAAAAGCTGTGGCTTGGGATGAACATGGTCACTAGGCAGACTGCAGTGGCTGGGGAACTGGTGGATAGGACTCCAGTCGCTCTCTCCTCCAGTTCTCAGACTTTTTGCTGAGGATGCTCCGCCCAGAGGCCAGACCAGCCAGAAGCTGGGGCAAGGGAGGTCTGGAGGTACAGTGTGATGAGCAGCCTCCTGGGTCACAGAGCAGGGTCCAGAGGTCAGAGACTAGATCTGTGGCTAGCAAAGAGAGACTAACCAGGACACACGGTCTGGGTTACATTTGGGTGGCAGGTTTAAGATTGTATCTCAACAGAAGCACATGGATGGGCTAGACTAATTTTCCAATATATGGCATGTTTGTCAGGAGAAGGGGTCCTCATTATCAGAAAAAAATGGAATGAATAGATGCTAGGCCAGCAAAGCAATAACCTTAAGTAAAATAAATAAGTGTAATATGCCTTCCTCACAAAATTGGTGTGAGATAATGTACATAAAAGCTCCTTGTACACTGCAGGTCTCTGTTCAGACAGTTCATGGTGTTGTTGCCAAACCAAAGAATATCTGACAGCTCAAGGTCTGGTCGAAGTCTGTGGCCAGCTTGGGGTTGGAGGAAACCCTTAGTCATGGGACACTTCAGGCCGAGGCCTGCCAGATCTCAGGAGGGGCCATGTGTATCTCCACTTCCTCATCTTGAGTGGCATAGCCTTTGACTGCAAACAGAGACCCCCCCACCCAGTTGCCCGGCCTGCTGTTCTTGGTGAATCCAGCACTGGCGAGAAGGGAACCGGGATGAAGAGGCTATGAATTGTGACTTGAGGGTTAATACCGATCCTGTTGGTCCTCTCTGGGGTGAGGAGCTCTTTGGAAGAACGAGAGGGGGCACCTGGGGTGTGTGGGAGGGGTGGGAAGTCTCACCTCAGTATACCTGTGCCCCCTCCAAGCCTCCTCTTCATATACCATGAGTGTCCTAATGGGGTTTCAACCCTTTGGTCAAAACCCTCCTGGGAAAGGACCTGTGATCGTTTCTCACAGGCATTGTCACAAAGCAGTCTCTCTCCTAGTGGCATTTATACACTTTTTAAGTTGGAAAGCCTTTTTCTCCTACTAAATTCTATGCCTCAGGAAACAGAAAGGGAGGTATTGTTGAGGTGAAGGCTCTTCCCTTTATTGGGGTGGCAGATAGCACAGTGGGGGAGGAAGTGAGTCTTAGAGATGAGCAGGAAGCAGCCCCTCTGGGCATGGCATTGGGCTGTTGGGCTTATGTTCGGATGTGACCCAATGTCAACAGGAAATATTAAGGGCAGCACCATATGGAAAATGAGCAGAATGGTCTTTTGCTTTGAGAGGGTGTAAGGCCACAAAAGTGACAACAAAAAGAATTGTTGTCACTTTGCAAGGCCCTGTACGATATGAATTTCTATAGCCCCTTCAAGGGCATAACCATGCCATAATCTATTACATGTGTTTGTGTCTGATGACAATCACCGTCTTAGTCCATTTGGGCTGCTGTAACAAAATACCACAAATGGTAACGTACAAACAACAGAAATTTATTTCTCATAGTCCTGGAGGCTGGAAGTCCAAGATCAGGGTGCCAGCACGGTCAGATGAAGGCCCTGTCCTGGGTCGCAGACGTCTGACTCCCTGCTGTGTCCTCATGTGGTAGAAGCAGGCTAAGGATTTATCTGGATCCTCTTTTATAATCTTTTGCTGAATTACTTATCACGAACAGTCACTTACACATTTTGTAGCTCAGTTATGTGTCTCACTTCCACGTCGGTTGTTTCCCCAAGTGTACTGCCCAAGCAGGAAGTACACAACCAGTAAATTCGTTGCTGATAATCCTGGGTTCTGGGGCATCCTTGGTTTTAGATGTTTCTTGCAATGGAAAATTGATTAGGAAACCCAATCATCAAGTTCTACTACTATATGCTCAGTGCATCAGATATTTCCATGTAACTTTACCTTCTTCTTCCTAGAAGCTCCACTGGTCAGAATAAATCGCAAAGAAACCTTTCCAGGGATTACAACTCTTTTCTGCAGAGCTCATGGCTTTTATCCGCCAGAAATTTCCATGATCTGGATGAAAAACGGGAAAGAAATGCTCCAAGAAATGGATTATGGAGACATTCTTCCTAGTGGGGATGGGACCTATCAGACGTGGGTATCACTTGACCTGGATCCTCAGAGCAGTGACTCTTACTCCTGTCACGTGGAGCACTGTGACGTCCACATGGTTCTTCAGGTCCCCCAGGGTAAGAACAGGGTTGTGGCTGTCTGGGGAGTGAGACTAAGGACAGAGAGTGAGCAGTGGGCATGAATCACTGCGTGCCTTTAGAAAGGGCCTTTCAAATTGGAAGTTTGCTCACTTTTTGGTCTCAGGGCTTCTTTATACTCATAAGTGAGGACCCCAAAGAGCTTTTGTTTATGTGGGTATATCTATTGCTATTTACTGTATTATAAATTTAAATTTTTATTTTTTTAAACTCATGGAAAACACAAGCACCTATTCCATTCGCCATCAGAGCAATGATGTGATCACATCATGTAGCCTTTAGAAAATTCCGCTGTGTACATGTGAGAGATTAAGTTTAAAAAGAGAGAATCGTGGACTCTCTGAAAGCGTTGTGAGGACCCCTGGGGCATTCCCGCCCCACGTTGAGAACTGCTATCCTCTGTTTTAGATTATTGCCCTACACGGAACTGAGAGGTGAGAAACAAGAGTAAGAAAAATGGTGCTGGGCTTCCCGATGATCACGGGGACAAAAGTCTCCAAAAGTTAATATAGAAGGGGAGGAGGACTTGTGGATTTTTCTTCTACGCTTGCTTTCAGAATCGGAAACTATCCTTCTGGTGATGAAAGCTGTCACTGGGTCCGTTGTCCTTGCCATTGGCCTGGCTGGAGTCGGCGTCCTGGCCTGGAGGAGAAGGCTTCGAGGTGAGAGGCATGTGGCTGCAGATTGTCACTCCTACAGCTCCATAAGCTTTATTTTCTGCACCTGCCATGCTAAGCTCCATTTAGAAATTGGTTAGGCCTCACTTTGCGAGCACAGAGCGACCCGGAACACCTCTCCCATCATATAGGGAACACACGCCATGGATAATGCTTGCAAGGAGAATGATCTGTTTCACAGGTGATGCCTGACATCAGCAGAGTAGTACAGCTGCTGTCCAGGTGAATGGCCTTCTAGAAGTTGGGTCAGAGAAGATAGAGTGATATTGATAAGTCTTTTTCCAAACTATATCCTTATTAGGAATCACTATTCACTTTTTGTTTTGTCCTTTGTTTCAAGACATCAGAAAGTTTTCCCATTTGACATTTTTCTGCCCCAATCATATAAAAGACCTTGCTTATCCTTCTAAATTCATCTTTCAACATATGAAATGTTGAGGAGTAGATATGGAAAATGCGACTTGGGGTAAGGAAAAGGGGAAGGAGAAATGAGATATATGGCTCTTGATACCTTGGGGGGAAAAAACTCATTCATTTCATAAATACATATTAAATACCTACTACATTCCAGGCACTGTGCTGGATGCTGGGATATAGCAATGCAAAAGGCAGACACGATCTCTACTGTCTTGTGAGGTCATTCCCCACAATGGCTTCAGCGGATACTGAAGTTGATCACAGCATAATATTGATGAGACCTAGATTATGGGTTTGAACCTAGTGTGGGCCAGTAGTTTGGTGTTGCTTCATAACCATAGACTTCAACCCTAATTCAAGTGATATGGTATAAAGCATGTTATTAGATCAAAGTAAAACTAGCCATTTTACTAGAAAATCAACTCGGAGAGTTAGTGGGTCATTCTAATATTTTCTTTATAAGTAAAGTGCAGCACTGATTCCAATCCAACACTTTGAACCTAGTGTGGGCCAGTAGTTCGGTGTTGCTTCATAACCATAGACTTCAACCCTAATTCAAGTGATATGGTATAAAGCATGTTATTAGATCAAAGTAAAACTAGCCATTTTGCTGGAAAATCAACTCGGAGAGTTAGTGGGTCATTCTAATATTTTCTTTGTAAGTAAAGTGCAGCACTGATCCCAATCCAACACACGTGAACTGCTGAAACAAACAAAAAAAAAATTTCTTTTTACAATGACACACCTCTCTCAGGAATGATGCATACCGAGTTCTTGCTTTTTATCTTGTGGAGATTGTGAATTGAGTTAAAATATGTCTAGTACTAAGAGAGTCTTGACGAAGCAGGCTAAAAATGTTGATGCCGGCTTATCAGATTTTGCTGAACATTGCATAATTTTTTTTGAGCTATAAAGAAAAAATGCACATATCTGACTAAAAAGTCTTCCTTTCAGAGCAAAATGGAATCACCTACCTTCCTACATCAGATCAATGATTGGAGATAGCTCTTGTCCAGTTGTTTTTCCTCTGGGAACCATGGTCTCTGTACCCCATGGACCCAAATTCAGGTGCCTGAAGCTCTTGACCACACCCACAACAGATACGATTGTTATGTGGTTGAACATTTACAGCAGAAGGATAGAGCCACAAAGTTTTCTTTGTTCTTTGGCTCCAAAAAGACTGTCAGCCTTCAAGCTCTTTTGATGGACTCCTTTATCACATTTGGCTCTAACTATAGCTCATGACACAACTACCCTATTCCATCTGTCAATGATGATTTACAAGTAAACCAGAGAATCTCAGAGCTGAAAGGAACCTTCTAATTGAAGGCAGGAAACGGTCTTCGCCAGTACCTTCGACTTGAGCATCTAGCCGCCACTTGAATACCACCAGTGAAGGGCACCTCACTACGTCATAAAATGGTCTTTCTCTTCTTTCATGAGAGTGTTTTTCTTTGCAAGAGCTTCAAGTGTCATGAGTGCCATGACTGTGACCCTACAGACAGGGTCAGACCACCTCATGAGAGCAGCCATCGAGTTTCTACAATGGCCTATGGGTGGCTGGGTCATTTTATATGTTTCTTGGCTTGAGAGAAAGCGAAGTGCGCAGTTCTTATGGCATCTCTGCTTGGTAGTTTGGAATCTTGAAAATATGCCTAGTCAGATCCATGGAAGTGATTTCATTTTTTCTGTTTTCTTTTTGAGGGAAAGAAAGAACAATAATTACCAGATATATTATCATCTTCAGTGGAACTACAGAGACCTAGACTCAAGTGCAGTCTTTTAAGATAAAAATGATACTATGTTTATATCTCAGAAGAAGATTCAATTATCATTTCTGTCCTTCCTCTCTGGCTTATTGTAGATGGGCCAGACTCACCCGATTCTCCATATGAAGAGAAGCCCTACTGTGAGAAATAACACTCCCTTGATCCTCCTGACTCTCCTCCCCCTAAAATCTTCACCATCATTTTCCTCTTGTTTGCTTGGCATTTTCGATTCTCAGTAAGAAGATCACATTCTATCAGAGGGGGATGCCGATGTCTTCTCTAAGTTAAATATGAGCTTGGACCCCAGGGCCCTGGACTCTCTTGGACATAGTTTTCTGGAAACACTCAGACCCTGGGGACCCCATATTGTGGCTCCGGGGGAATGCATCAAGGCTTCCACAGTTGTTTCCTTCCCCAACAAATTTCCTTCTTGCTTCCCCACAGTTGGCTTGGCCGAGTAAAAAGAACACCAAATATAGCCACGTACGGGAGTGGCTTACCACACAGTAAGATAAACACCATTTATAACATTAAATGTGTCTTTGTTATAAATCTTGACTGATTATAACAATAAATGCTGCTTATTTATTCTGTTTCTGGCTTGTGAACCAACTGAGGACATGAGCAGGGCCACTGCTCACCCATATGGGATGTTTGTGCAAACAGAAAATTGTTTCCTTCTTCTAGGTGAACTCTGACCCAGGCCAGGTCACACGGCTTAACCAGCAGAACATAGAGTGGATTTCTACTCTGTTTGTTCCCTTGGTGTTCAGGGCACAACATTACATGGCAGCTCTGGTCATATTGTTAGAAAATAGATGGAAATTGGCTGTAGACTAAGATGAAAGAATTAACTTGGAAGGGAGAAATGACAGTGGGGGTGGGGGGGGGAAAGATTGATTCATTCAAAATGGTGGAACTAGAAGCCCTGTTTGTATATCTAAACAGCTGAAATTATCTAAAGGGTTTTACATAATCTTATCATGGAGTTTATTTATGGAGATCTATTTTTAAATTTTTATGTCATATCACACAGTCTGCACGATACCTTGTATGTAGTAGGAACCCAGTAAATACTTCTTGAATGAACCAGTACAGTATTTTAATTAGTTAGTCCTCATGTACTGGTGCAAAAGAACAGTGTCATCTTACAACTGAAATCATAGAGAGGAAATATCCTACTCAGGATCATATGACATTGCTGGGGCCCAGGATGAACGCCCCAAGGACTTGTCTGAATTCTTCAAACATTTCTGCAACATTAACATTCTTTATTTAATACTTTATCTTGTCATTGCCTTGCCTGTGAGATTAAGGATCCCAAACATTTGAACCATGCTCCTCTCCCTCACTCCCCCTCCCCCATATTAGGGACAGGGACAGGGACAGAATTCAGACGTTCTTACACAAGGCACTATTTTTTCTGGAAGGCTATGAAAAGAGGTGTTGAGAAATGAGTTCTCTGTCAGCTTGGGGGCCCAGCTATCTGTTACCTAATATATATCTTTCTATTCTTAAGTCCTGTAGAGCTGTTATATAATCTGAATTTTCCTTTCTATTGTCACTTGGATATTTAGTTCATGAAATACAAATTTCATCAGTTCTTATCCATGACCTAGGAATTACGCGAAACCTCTCTTTCTAAAGAGAACGGGTGTCATGCATACTTCTTCCTTTCCCCCTTCTTCCTTGAATTCAGTGTTAGATGAACCCATCAGGCAGGAGTTTCTGCATTTGTCCCTTGGCGGGGGGTTGGGTGTGAGAGAATATTTGGGACCAGAAAGTTCTGAGCCTGTTGGAGCTGGACAGTTGGAACTGAGGGGCTGAGCAGCAGCTGGAAGGCTGGGCTGGCCCGGAGCCCTGGCAAGTGGCGACTGGGTCTGCGGCAAGTGCTGTGGCTGTGGCCAGACCTCTGAAGACGCCAAACAGGGCCAGAGAGTGGGAACAACCAAGGAGAAAAAAACAGCTTCTGAGAAAAAAGCTTCTCAAAGGGAAAATAAATTCAGGGAACAGGAGGCTACAGACCAAAAACGGGAAGCCACCAGAATGGAAAAGGAAGTGAAACCAAGACAAAAATGAGACATTCAACCTCAAGCTGAAGCAGTCTTTGCTCTTTTTTCTTTTCATGATATCAATGTGGATCTAAGGTGAATCTGTTACCTGAACTGAGTAGAAGCTCTGGGTTTTTTTGTTTGTTTGTTTTTTCTGAGCAACATGACAGTAGCATAAATAAAGAATTCTGGGAATACATTGAGAAGACAGACTAAAAGGTGACAAATTCTGGGAGAATTTGGAGAGCTGGAATAATAAAAAGTAAAACATTTGGAGTCTCATCAGCTGCTGAATACAACCCTTTGAGGTAATTTAAAAGCTCTTAAAGCCTTTATTACTCACAAAACTGCTACAAATACATGATCTGTGCATTACACACAACAGGAAGTTGCCAAACCAGATGTAACCTCCTGAGGCTGCAGTATTTGGGCTGCCCTCCACCTTACTTTTAAAAGAATGAATTAGTCATTGATCTCTGAGGATCAGGAGGGTTGAAGACAAAAGGCAAGTTGCTCTAACACAGTTCAGGCCTTTGCAATGGAAATTAAGATCAAATTTCAAAGATTTGTAAATTTGTCCACCTTCATAGACTTGAAGTCTCTACAATGATGACATTTCCAAGGATTTTCCTCTGCCACAAGCAATTAGTAGTTTCTCTGTGTGTCACTGTATCCACTATATTGTCATTAAAGCCACAGAGTTTATTTACTAATAATTTGCCATGGATATTGATATTCAAATTAAATTCTTATGGCCTTCATTGGTTAGTATGCTGTTCATAGAGTGTATGTTCCATAAGGCCAGAGAGCCCAGTGCCTGGCACATAGGAGGCACTCGATACATATGCATATTGACAAAATAAATTTCAGTACCTACTATGAGCCAGACTATATAGGCAATAGAGCCCAGTAGAGATGCTTTGAAAATTATCAAGGGCAGAAATGGCCTAGATATATGCTTATAAGCAAATCAAGCTCACATCATAGAAAATGACTTTAAGGAAGGTACTCCAGAATACATTTCTATAAAATAGACCCTGGGCTTTGTGTTAATAGAAGGACTACAACTCTGACAGAGACCTTTTGTAGTAATGCTGAAAAACAGGTTGGATAAACCTTTAGAGTGAAATGGGAGGGCTGCATATAAATACTCCATTAATGAAAGGGAGGAGGGAGAGGGGAGGATGGGAGGAGCCAAGTGCTGCCTCCATCCCCGCAGCAGCTGGGCTGGGATTCCAGGACCAACAAGCGTTTGTGACCCTGACATCTAGGAACTCCAGGATACTCAGCAGACAGCATAAGTTCTAATCCTCCATTTCCCTTTACCACTTCCCCAACTGGCCAGTCCTCAGAATTAACGCCTTCTCTAAGCTCGTAAATGCTTTTTGGCTCTGCTGTTCAACTGACTTGGCTACTCTGTGTTGGTATTTATCTGCTTCTGCATAGCTTATCATTCTGGCTAGACTAGAAACCCCTTAAGGATACAGTTTGAATTCCATCTCTTTTACTTAGCATCAGGATGATCTTAAGCTATTTAACTTCTCAGCCTCAGTATTATAAAAACAGGTTTGTAATTACCTATCTCACAGAGTTAATGTAGGAACTAAATGAGGTGTGTGTGTGTATGAAAGCACACTGCATAGGACATGGAACATGTTGTGTCTCTCTTCCTCTAGGTATTTCTAGCTACTATTTATCGAGTGCTTACTATGAACTTGGCACTTTACATATATCATCTCTATTCCTTATAACACTTTCTCAGCAGGTATTATTATCTCCATTTCGCCGAAGTTCAGATAAGTTATGTTTCTTGACAAGGTCGCAGTTAAATGGCAGAGGCATGATTCAAACCCAAGTTCTCCGTATACAGGTTGTGCTCTTTCTAGTACACCACCCTATCTGCACATAGTAGGCACTCTACTGATGCTTGACAATTGTAAGGTATCATCTACTCAAAACTATGCTCTATAGTGAACCTTGGAAACAAAGGAATAAAAACGACTTTACAATGAATTGGAAAATCAATAAAATCCCTTATAAATTTGTGAAGGTCTGAGTCTTTCTGCTCAGGCTTTGATGATGTGACTTAAATGCTGACTAAAGAAGGGCTGGAGGGCCAAACGAAGCCATAGGGAGTTGTCACACATTTCATGGAAATGTCAATGAAGGGCATGGATAAGATTTATTACTTGTCAGTTTTGGGCAGATGGAAACAGCTGATGCACAAAGGGAAAATTAAAAACTCCTCACCTTGCAAACAAACTCACCCAGGGTAGATCCAATGGCACATAGAATTTTAGAGCTGGGGGGTTGTTTAGGCATCATGTAGATCAATTATCTCATTTTACAAATAATAAAAAAAAAAGGCTTGGAAAGAATAAAATGATTTGCCAAAGGAAACCCTGAAACCAATGCTAAACTTCATGTCTTTACATAAATATGTTCAAAATCATTAGTCATTAGGGAGATGCAAATTAAGACCACAGTGAGATATCAGTACACACCTATCAGAATGGCTAAAATAAAAAGTAGTGACAATACTAAATATTGGAGAAACCAGATTGCTCATTCATTATTGGTGGGAACAGAGAATGGTACAGGCATTCTGGAAAATAGTTTGGGCATTTCTTTAAAAAACTATATACTTACCTAGCGGTAATACTCCTGGCAGTTTATCTCAGAGAAATGAAAAGTGATGTCCACATAAAATCTGTATACAATTGTTCACAGCAGCTTTATTTGTAATAGCTCGAAACCAGAAACAACCAAGATGTCCCTCTGTAGATGAGTGGTTAAACAATAGTACATCCATTTTATGGAATACTACTCAGCAATAAAAAGGAATGAGGCATTTATATATGCAACAATTTGGATGAATCTCCAGGGCATTATGTTAAGTGAAAAAAGCCTATCTCGAAAGGTCACATACTGTGTAGTTCTGTTCCTATGGCAGCCTCAAAATAACAAAATTATAGAGATGGAAAACAGACTAGTGGTTGCCAGGGTTAGGGATGGTTGGTGGGAGAGGGTGGGTGGGACTATAAAAGGGTAGCATGAGCGAGGTCTTTGTCGAGATGGTAGTATTATATCTTGATTGCAGTGGTGGTCATACTAATTTACACGTGACAAAATGACATAAACATATAAACACATACTGTATCAGTATCAGTTTCTTAATTTCAATATTGTACCATAATTAGGTAAGAGGTAACTTGGCAAAAGGTACACGGCACCTCTCTGTACTCTGTACTTTCTCCCTACACTATAATTATTTCAAAATACTTTTTTAAAAAAAATTGAAGGACAATGCAGCAACTCATTTCTGTTATGATACCCTGTAATTATTTGGCTTAATGAAACTAGTTCCACATAGAAATTGGCCAAATAATAGAATCGACTGAGTTCCAACTTGTTAAATTGATCTGTGCCTGTTATAGCCACCCAAAAACTCTTTTGTTTGAAAAAATCTCATTTCGTTTGCAATCAGTAGATTGTAACTTAAGATACTTAAAGGGACCCATTAACAATGGAATAATCTGAGGAATCTGTACTATTAGAATTTGTTCATATCATAACATTAAAAGTAATTTGCTTGGGGAGTATTGGGAGCGTTTCTACTGTTTTAAAACCCCATAGAAGAACAAATGCAAGGTATTCGGTGCCTGGGTCTTGCTGCTGTCTTTCATAATTTGAACATGCCCCTACTTAAGGTGAGCATCATCTACCTGTGCGACTGAAAACTTTCACATCTCAAGGTGATTTGAACTTTAAGCCTCTTTTTGCACAGGCAGGGAGGCTAATGCTTAATACTGTTGCATGTCAACCATTCTGGTTGTTGGGTCCTGAAGCCGTTTCCTTGTCGCAACTGTTTTCTAGTTCAGAGCTGCACCTTTAGTCTATTTTCTGGGGCTCCTAGTGCCCTAAGGAGTGTGACTAATACTTTCCATCATGCCTGTACTTGTCAACCTGATGAATTTCAGTTAAACACATGGTTCCTTAGAGGGAGTCCCTCATGGAATTTATCCACATATTTGGTTAGGCATGATGGCCCAAATCTCAGCTTTGCTTGGCATATGTTCACAAATACAACCCTGGTCAGTTTTGTCCATAATGGTGTTTCCAAACTGTCCTCACTCCCTCAAACACTGCTTGATCCTACCCGGTTTGTCTCCAACTTCACAAAGACAGCAGAGGTTCTCAGAAGTTCCCTAGCAGCCACAGGAAGCCCTGCGGCCCATCTCCCCTTTCCCTTCTGCCCTTCCGTCTCAGGAGAGGGATTCTGATTCTGTTCTGGGCTGGTTCCCCAGCTCAGCTTTTACTGACTCCCCAAGACCTTTCCCCACCACTCACCCCTCTCCCTGCTGTAGCTTCAACTTCATAGACTGGTGTCAATATCTGTGGAAAAGAGCAGAAATTTCACAGCCAGCCAGGTAAAGGTTTGAATCCCACCTCTTCCATTTGCCATCTGTGTGATCTTAAGCAGTTTTTTTTTTTTTAATTGTGGTAAAATACACATAACGTAAATTCACCATCCTAACCATTTTTTAAGTATATGTCGGTTCAGTAGTGTTAAGTTCATTCACATTTTTGTTAACCATCTCCAGCACTCTTTTCATCTTATAAAACTGAAACTCTGTACTCATTAAACACCACCACCCGATTCCCCCATCTCCTAGCCCCTGGCAACCACCATTCTGTCTTCTGTCTCTATGAGTTTGACTACTTTAGGTACCTTATATAAGTAGAATCATACGTTATTTGTCTTTGTGACTGGATTATTTCACTTAGCAGAATGTCCTCAAGGTTTATCTATGTTGTAGCATGTCTTGAGCAAGTTTGAAAAACCATTTCCAAACCCCAGTTTTCTCACCCATAAGCCCCACACCTTCCCAAGAGTTGTTGAGAGGATTAAGTATAACGGGAACTCAGTGTTTGTTGGTTGCCTTTCTTCTTATTCCCTGCAGCCTTCCCGTGGATGAAGATTCTTTGCCTTTTAATAAATCTCTCTCAACTTTCAGAAACCCTCCCAAGTTCCTGGATTTCTCTCTCCACTTAAGACCTTTCCTCATCTTCACCGCTGGAGTTCTTAAGAGCAAGCCGTCTGGTAGCTGTCTCCACTCTTCACTTCCCCTTCAACTTATGTCACTACCACTCCAATTATCTTGTCACTGGGGAGGTCACCGGGACTCTCCTAACTGTCCAGCTTACTTCTCAAGTCTAATTTCACACGTTCTTTCTGCAATTTATGACATGAATTAACATCACTAAATAGTCTTTCTTTGTTGAAATCTTCCGTGGCTCCTGTGATAGCACGGTGTACCATTCTGAACTGGCCAAAATGTACTTGGGGATAAGGTGAAGAGAGGAAGCGCTTTCATGTATTAGTTTTATTCGTTCATTCGGCAACTGTTCTTTGAGCACACTGTGTGCCAGCTGCTGTTTTCGGTGCCAGAGATACTTCAGCAAACAACACAGACTAATATGCCCTAGCATGCTTTGAGGCAGATGCCACTTCGTTAAGGGTTGGAGGTGGCTGGAACTCCCCAACCCGCTCCCATCTTTCTGTTCTTTATCCTCTTCTGCAACTAGTAGAAGTCGCTTAGCCTCTTTGTCTGGCACTGTGAGCCTTGCTCTCCCCCCACTTCCCCCTGCTCCATATCACAGAGTAGTTAACTCTGCCCTCTTTGATCTCACCCTTGTCCTTGCACATAGTCCTATTGCAGGACTGATACAATGGATTTCTATGATCCTCTCACCTGCC